TGTTAGATTCATGGCATGACCAGCCATCATTTGCTACATCCCTATTCTTCTTGATATGGAAGAACAGATTGAAACGTTTGCCTCCCTTTCCTCATTCATCAAAAGTCAAACTTCTCCACACATCAAATTATACCTGACACCTGATTTTCTCCTGTCTCTTACCTCTTAATCATTTCCTTGGAAACAGACAATTCACCAGTGTGAAAAGGCATGCAGTAAGGGTGGGAAATGATCTGCGAGGTGTATGAACAGAAGCAATTAGACTGGTGTAAATTCAGATCAATTACACCATTATGAACATACATCACTTTACAGAGAATCACCACGTGGCTTGTTCACCTTACAAAGGCTATTAAATCCCATTCTTGTAAGCTGTGGGCAGATTCCTAAACCAATCTGGTCCTAGATGATAATCCAGCCAAGTTTATATGAAGGACTGAGGTTTGTCCAAGTGTCATATCTTAATGTTATATACCAAAGTATGTGCTGTGAAAGGTGTTTGCAAACATGTTTTAGGAATAGACAAATTTGCTTGGAAGCTGTCGTTTTGATATAAACCCTAGTGCATTGAAGACCATTTTATGCTAGAAAATGGCATTCACTCCTACAGTTAAGACAAGCACAAAACTACATACTGATTGCAAGATCAAAATCAGGAGAACATTAATAATTGCTACCAGTTTAAAACTTCAAGAAAATTTATCAGCTTTAATGACTTTTATCAGCCATTAGAGAGATTCCACATCATTAAGGAGATGTGTCTTTATAAAGGCTCATAAAGGTTTCATAAAGACTGTATTTAAACGACATGTATTTGTGGGAATGTTTATGTTAGTCTTTGATACATCATTTGAAAGCATTTTAAATTGACAAAAAAAAAAGTACAATTTCACTATAATTGTAAGACAAAATGATGACAAGATCTGCTTCATATCTTACTGTATACAAAGGCAACACACCTTCTTAAAGCACAGGATTCATAACTCCAGAACCATTACTAAAGCTATTGTCATTGCTTGTCAAAGTATAAAGTCTTGCACCCAACTTCATCTCTTTTCAGCATGCTGTTGCACCAGCATCGATTTCCTGAAAAACGTAGCAGAAGCATCTGTCTCTGCAGAACTTCAGTTTACAGTGTTGAAATTGATTTGCTCAGTAAGTGTGTGTTTAGAAGCAGCAGTTTTATACATCAGAGAGGAAGATCTTATTTCCAAGATTTGTTCTATTCGTTTACTTTATTATACCACTGCTTTAAAAAATCCATTATTTTTATTCTACATACCCTCCTTACCTTTTACTGATTGTTGCACACTCTATAGTGCAAGCTATATTGATTGATAATGGTTTTTATTGTGAATCAAATAGACGAGGAGTTCAGCATGTCTATAATTCTGAAATTTCTAAATTTAAAAATTTCTCACTGATGTCCTGCCTATGCAAAGGAAGAGAACCCAGAAGATCTTTACCACATTAATGTCTTAATAAACACTCTTCTCTGAGTCACGAATGACTGCCACATGCTGGGATGAATCATATGAAAGCTTCGTAGAGTCCCTTGAATTCTGAAGCCCTTCACAGCAAAGATACTGCAACCCACCTGCATGTTCCAAAACAGAACTTTCACCGTAGGAGCAGTTCATTCCCTGAGGAGATGCCACTTTTATCTTTGAGGGAGACTAGAAGTTGGAGTTCACCTTCCAGTGCCATTACTTCTTTGGGCTCTCAGATGCAAACAAGATCTGACAGCAGCAGGGCTTCCTGGGCTGACCCCTGTTGCACGTGCATCAGAGACAGCAAATTTTGGCCCTAACTGGGAAAGTGGAAAGAGGTCTAGGAAAGAAATACATGCAAATTCTGGCTCCTTAATTGGTAACTGCTGTGTAGAAAACATTGCACAACTTTGTGTAAGGATGTAGTATTAAAAGCCTTCACTCCTTGGAAAATTCTGCTGCTGAAAGTTACTTTCAGTTGTAAAATATGTATTGCAAGGTGAGCCTCTACACAGGAATTAAGCAGCAACTTGTGACAAAGCAGTTACCATCAGGAGATAATTGACCTTATTCGAGATTTAAGCATCCTGAGGCAAAGTAGAGTGTGCTTAATCCTGGCAGGTTAATTATCCAGTGATTATAGTAGCTTGGAAGGTATTATTGCTAAGAATCATTTGCAAAATGACACTATTTAAAAAAAACTTAATTTAATAAAAATTAAAAGCAATGACAATAATCAAGTTCTCCAGTCATGTATTGCTAGACTACGACTGCAGAATGGCCTTAATTGGTTAGCAGCAATGAACATGTAATTATTCCCATTCAGAATGTTCTGTACTAAATTTGTTACACGAAGTACTGTTAATAATATCAAAAATCCAAGGCAAGATGTTTGGCTAACTATAAAAGGGATCTAAAACAGTGATCAAAACACCAGTGGTCATTGAGCTAGTGCTGGAAGTGATAAATGTGCTGAGTTCCTACCACCGCGCTCACTGTCTCGACCGCAGATAAGGGTATGCTGGCATTTACATTGTAAACTAGAACATTTATTCCAAGAGGTTTATAACTTGCCCATTTTAATTGCCATCTGGCTGAAACTTGAAATAACCAATCTCCATTCAGATGTAAATTTTCAAGTAGAAGATATAATTTAAAATCACTTTGCCAATTGTTTTTAGTTTAGGAATAGCAGCAATTTGGAATCTTGCTGTTCTTGGATGTTTTTTCTATTACTCTAAAAAAAAAATAAACAGCTCAGTGCTTAACAATCAAATTGCATTGGTCTATAATGTAGTGTGAAGATAAACACAGAGAGGAATAAAAATTGTGTCTGAGGCTATTGTTATACTAATAAAATAACAATCACACCACTTCGAGCGTCTTACTTGTATGTTAACTTATGTGCTTCTAGTATTTAACTAAACTAGCATAACTGATGGAAAACTTTGCAAAAAGCAAAAGGAAATCATAGTAAACGAGCAAAATCTTGGTGTTGGTTAGCTGAAGAAGTTCTCCGCCCATTAGGGCAGGCATAAAGACAAAAACGTTCCAAATGTACTTGCAAGTGAAATGAATATAGAAACAGTAAACAAAGAAGGAAGCTACCAGAAGGCAGAACATGTCAAAGTAAGCTTTTCTTCAGTTTTGCAACCTCTCTTTACCACAAACCATATGCAAAGATTAGAAAGAATGACAGTTACAAGATACAGCAGCTATTATAAACTGGATGTATACCACGCCAAGGGTGTGGTTTCAAGTTATACAGAAAGACAAGAGAATAAACCACTGTGAATATAATTTCAATAACCCAAAAGCAGCAACGACCAGTTTACATAGTCAAAAGCAGAGACTAAAAGATGACCAGGATTTTCAACTGATTACAAAGTTCAAGTACACTGTGTGCAAAAAGGAACATAAATGACCTGTACTCTGAAGTACTTATGTACTAGTCTAAAGATGATCACTTTAGTTTAAGTAGCATCTTTTACCTGAAAGACACTAAGATATGTCAGAAAAATGTAAGGAATATTTGACGCTTTAATACACACAACAGTGCTACACAATATTTTATGACAGCAGGTGAAAAATACCATAGCGAACTGAAATGGCAGGGGAAATTAAGGTAGTGTGAATATAATTCCCAAAATTGGAATGTTGCCATAGTGGGCTATTGCTTATTAAGTATGCAAATATACAAATAGTACCAATCAACATTTTATCTTCTGAAAAACAGCACCTTATGAACTCCTGTGATACGAATTTAATGAGGCAATATTTATATAGAAGATCAGACATATTTAGTCCCAGAAGTTTCTCTGAAGCTTTGCACCCAAGTATTAACTAAACTTGGTCTACCTAATTTGTGAAATCTGATTTTTTTTAAATTTATAATATACTGTTATTAAATCGGAACGCTCAGTATTGTGCTTGTGAGGATTGTATTGCAAAAAAAAAACCCAACCAAAAAACAGAATAAAGCAAAAATTGGCAATAACAGTGAAGAAAATACCGCTTGTTTTGCTAGCTACAGTTTAAGAAAGATTTCCTATCCTACTGCATTTAAAAACATTACAATTTCCTTCATTTTAGAAATACTTCTTCAATTATTGTATCTGTAACAGTGTTAGGCCCTGATCTGTAGACAGCAATAGTAGAAAAATTGATTTGTGTTGGTGTAACTCCCTGAGTCACAACCAGGAATAATCACTGACAGGAATAAGTCACTTCTCCATAATTTTCCAGTACTAACATAGTTATCTTTGACAAGCCAACACTTCAATTAGGTATGCCACACTTTCCAAGATACATTTATCCATTAAACCATTTTGTGCCAAGAAAAGTAATATTTAAGAGCACTTTCTGAAAAGGAAAAAAAAAATTAAAATGATATCATTACAATGAGTGAAATTTGAATTCAGTTTGCCTATTACCATGGACTTTCAGGCAAGATTTCATGCAAAATGTTTCTCAAATGCTGTATAGCGAAAATAAGCCTTCCTTAGACAGACTACCAATCTATTCACAACAAAAATCGACGAAAGACTTCTAAACCAACTGACTGGTTTTTAGTTTTCTCTTATGACTTCTCTCCAAAGAGTCTATTTCAACACAGAAATGTTATCAAGAAAAGGCATATGAGTATGAAAATGAGTAGCAGCACTTCCATGATGGCCCTTCATATGTTTTTTCCCCACAAAAATTTAACTGCAGGGCTGGTGCATCACGTATCTGGGCATTCATTAGGAAGCAGCTAATACGTTGGAGATTTCCTTTTTTAATCTAGAGTAATTTCTCCACATGTCTCCAGACTAAAACAAGCAAGTTGCAAATCTGACAGGTCAAATTACATATTTGGCATCAACTGACATTTCACAATCCTGTGATTATGGATTTAATTCTCCACTGATATCTTAGGTAGCGTCTTTCTGTATAATGGAGGACTGGAAAGCAGGATGATAGACACAAACAGGTAGGTGCAAGAGACACAAATACTTTCATAAGACTCACTGTCTCATTTCCAAAAAGGACATCCACGTAAGGCATGACTTTCATCATAGGCTCTTTGTAGAACTGGCTAATAAATGGTGCAGAAAGATTCAAGCTGAAGATCTTGTTGTTTGCAGAAGCCTGAGTAGCCACTTTTAATACTGCTTCTGGTGACACCGTCAGGAAGAATCCCTGCAAACATTCAAACAAAACAATGATTTTCATTTACTTCAAATTAGGAACCAAAGTAAGTTTGCTGTTTTAGAACACCACTACAATCCCAAACTTTTCTGCCACACATAGCCTATAAATAAAACCACACAACTATGGATAAAAACATTGCCTTTACATTAATGTATTAGGGAGGTGACAAAGAAGCTGCATATGCTAAGAAAGAAAAACATTTCCAAGTTAAACAGAACTCACCACCTCTGCCTTCAATGTAGTATACTTTCCCATAGCAATCAAGACTAGAATTTGTATTTTAAAAGGTACGATATTATAATTTTAAATGGCCCTCATTGGAACAGGAGTCAATCATACTGCACTGCTTAATTCCAGAGTCCAACAAGATGGCTTATGCACAGCTAAGAGAGTAATTAAATCCTTTGCCTGAAAGACTACTACCTTGTTTTAATAAATACACTGAGTGTGGTATAATTGTTCTACAGGAGAAATCTACGGGTTTTCACATTTCTGCCTTGTATTTTTCATTTGTCTACAACCTTCAGAAAGGGATCCAGGCTTCTGCAGGAAGAGAAGCTGGGATGCTCTCAGCACTGAGCCAACCTGCAGCTCCTACCCCCAGTCCATACTGAGGTGGACTCCACAGTCTCAGTGGGATATTCAGCTACAACTACTATGCTCAGTCTCTTAAAAATGGCACAGTGTAGCTTATCATTTTCTGTAAAAGTACTGACCTTCATTCTTTAATAGCAATATTTGAGGCCTGTGGTGTTTGCATTCCTTTGCCCTACCATTACTTTCCATCCTAAACACTATGTGCTGTAGACACGAACTAAATTCATAATTTTTTGTGATTAGACAGCTTTCACATCCATCTGCCTGCAGTATTTATGCTAAGAGAAGTAGGTGGGAATATCATACTTAATGTAACTTGATATCTGGAAATAACTTGGTTTCACATGGAAGGAAGCGATCCTCTTAGCTACTTGTAACGTACGTTGGGAACCTGCTCTAGCAGGAGGGTTGGACTAGATCTCCAGAGGTCCCTTTCAACTCCTATGGTTCTGTGATTCTGTGAACTGTTTTCAAAGCTCAGCAAATAATAGTAATTTTCAAGTAAAAGCAGCAATTGTTAAATTTAAGGCCAGAGATAATGTCTGAGGCAGAGAAACAAAAAACACTGGGGGAGAGGGGAGGTTGTCACATAAATAAAACTGTATCTCAGTTCTATCTGTAACATTGTCACTGTAAAATGCTAAAAGGTTCAACAGTGAAACAATCTTATTTTCCATTTTTTATACATATTATTCTATATTTGAATTACAGAATATACGTGATTTTCTCCTACTTCAACTAACAGATCACCTCAGGTATTGTACTTGCTAGAAGAATAATATAATGAGAAGTCTATAGATTAAAGACCACTTAGAAAGTCTTCTATTTCTTTTTCCCTGCTCCATGCTCTCCAGTCTAGGAAATGCATGACTGTTTTCAAAATCTGGGCATGACTCGCTACATGACAATAGAAGTTCAAAGGGCATAAGAATGCTTTGCTTCTTGTGGAATTACTCAGTACCTTGAACGACTGGAAGCCTGTAAACATCCAAGCTTCTTTGCTATTTTTACATTCTGAAGAGTTAAAATGAACGGTTTATATAACATCTTGTCTCCATAGCAATCTCTACCATCTTTTATTTTTTCATTTAATGAACAGAGTCAGATTTTTTAAAAACTGTTCCAAACACAAAACAAAACCTTTCAAGGTTCACATGTTGCCAGCTGTGGATAAATCACAGATTGCTATACAGTGGTCTGTGTAAATAGTAACCTGGTCAAATAATTAGGCTTCTTACCAATTTTCAGATGAAAACTGTGTCTGAACTAAAATACATCTGATTGTAATTTAAGGTACAGAACACTATCCCCATGAGATATAACTCAGGCCTGCATCCAACTCCTTTTTCCTTTGGAAAGGCAACATAAAAGTACTGAAATGCAGATAGTAGAGCTTGCTTTTCAGATCCAGCAAAGCTGAGGGATAGAACTCTTTAAAAGCTACAGTTCGCTCTTCTGGGTTTCCTAAAGCTCAATTCTGCCATTTGATTTCATCCTTCCAAGAGCTTTTTCTTTTGTATTTTTAAGTATTATCCAATATTAAAATATGTAGAAATTAAGAATTATGTATGAGAACTCTTGTTACAACTTTGCCAAGTATGACAGTGCTCTGCAAATAAAACTTGCAGCAATAAAACAAAATAAGTTGTTGCAGAATAATTCACACAGTGGAATTTATGAAGTAGAAAGGAAATGTAGAAAATCTGATGTGGGTTTAAAAAAGCTAATTAGATACTCCTCTCATCACCTGTAAATACTTAAATGGAGCATGATTATTTTCTGGGGAATGCCAATTGCAGCAATGGCCACTACTGTCACTGGACCTCAGCAAGATAAGCCACAGAACAGTTGTGCAGCATGCTACAGTTTTGAACAGGAATGAACTCCTCCAAAATAAACAGGGTTTCTTATCTGAGATTCACAACAAAGAAAAATCACTTCATATAATCTTTAGTAGCACAGCCCTCACGGTCTTGCAGCTACCACTGCTTTTTGGCCAGTGAGAGGTATCTAAAGGAGCATGTCAGCAGCTGCTCCCACCTCCTCTAGCAATTAACTGCTAGCCACCATCAGGTTCGGGTGTGAGAGTAACTGCATCTAGGTATTGCTTCTGGGACAGAATGGTGAAGTTTTCAGTTTATAAGGCGGAGGAATATTGGCTGGGAACCAGTAGTGGTTTATACCTTTGCTTAATTTCTTAAGCTCCTCTTTTGTTGTTTATTTTTGGTGTTAGTGCTGTTTTGTTTTGTTTTTCTAGTAGCAGTATCAATTTGGAGATTTTCCCTGGGGTAAAATGTTGGGCAGTACATGTGCTCTCATCTCGCAGTAAAAATTACGGATTCTTTACTGATAGTTCCCAGTCTCCCAAAATACATGATAAAGACCACTACAGTACTGCACTAGTAAGAAGTTCTATTCGCACTGACAAGTAGATTAAGAGGATGCTCAAAAACCACACTGTATCCATCTACACAATCTACTTCTGAGAGTTTTGGGAATCTTTTTACCTCAAAAACTGTTTTGAAACAGTTACAACAAAAATGTTAGTAAGCAAAAGATGAGTCACTTGGTTAACATACAGAAATTCCAATAGCCATGGTAGCTATGAAATTCTCAGTTAGACCCATGTTAGAAATGGTAGAAATTCTCATGCATGTATTTATGTTTGCAAAAGAATGCACTACATACAATGACATACAATAATTAGCGCAGTCAAAAGAAAGTAAAAGGGAGCAATATTGTACTACAAAAACCTATTAAACATTAAAGGGTGTCAGACATACTAGCAGCACTGCGTTCCTTTGGCAAGCACTGATCGAGGCTGAGTACACCAGATGCTGCTGGTTCACGATGTGCCACTATTTTCTGATTCTCAAAATGCAACCAACCTTTTTTTTGTGCCAGGAGGAAGGTACCACAGTGCCACAAGTAAGAAAGCAAAGCTGAACTAATATACATAGCAGGAAAATAAGGTGATATACTGAATTATTTATATGCATGTTTGTATCTATACAAACACAAAACACAAATATACTTTTTGTTCCCCACTGTAGGCAGAACTTCTGTTTAAATACAGTTCTTTGGTGGAGAAAAATGTTTTCTTTGTGAGAAGAAGAGAAACAAAAAGGAAAAAATAAGAAAAACACATCTGTGAGCTGCAGACACGTGGCCATGGGAGATAGAGTAACTTGTTTATAACTTAAAAGATTTTAAAATGCAGCATTAAGATGTGCATGACACTAGAAGACAAAGTCAAGAGAGAATATGCAATTATCATGCTTTTGCAATATTCTGCAATTCTTTGATGCACCTTTTAAAATATGCCCAGATACTTTGTGTATGGGACAGTTCTTTATGATCAAGTGGGTTTCTTCCACAGTTAAAATAATTGTTTAAAGAATTTGGTGAGATTACACACACACAACATCCTCACATCTCTCTCATTTTTATCACATGCAAACCTAACTGTTTCTTCTGACCTACACTGTGCCCATGTAGCACTAGCAATAGCAGGCATGAGTGCAGCAACTGAAGGGTGTCAGAAGTATTGGCAGCACAGAATCAGAGTTTTGAAGTATCACATGAAGCCAGCACTACCTTGGCGTTGGCGAAAGTATTTCTGAATAATGCGTTCTGTCCAAACAGAGCAGTCTTGCCATCATTTGTTCACATGAAAAAAACACACTTGCACTGAATTCATCTGGATTAGGTAAACGTAATACCTGCACAATGAGGATCAATACTTTCTTTAATCAATGAGTTCTTTCTTTAAGTTTCTTTACGTTTAGACAAATAGACTGAGATGGTAACAAACAGCTTTGCATTTCTGGATTTATTATTAATACCACAGAAACAACATTTGCAAAGGTTCAAATAGAGACAATAAAAAATGAGATTGCTCTCAAACCTACCACACACTAAAATGCTTCCATTTGTCCTCTGTTCTTTGTAGCTCTGTCTCCTTGCCATCCCCATTTTCAGAGCAGTTTACAAGAAAATGACTTTATGAGTGACTAGACTTTGAACCAGCGTATTCTGAACTGGTATTTTGAAATACCATTTGGTAACAATGTAAAACCAATAAATCCTAAGTGTGAATCAAAATATTTAACTTTCAGATATATATACAACAGTCTGTTGCCATTAGGGGTGAATTATTTTCTGACAACATGAAAAGAACACATCATTTAATCCAAAATTATTTTATGGCACGGACTTACATAAAAATGCAGTTATGATGACATCACACGCTCATCCATTTAAAGAGAAGAATTTTTCAGGCAGTGATATTTTGACAGTTCTGCAGTGACAGTCCTGATAAATACCATGATTCAGTAAAGCCCTGCAGAAGCCATCTAGACTCAAGCATGCTGGCACTTCCAGTAAAATCA